TTAAGAAGATTTAAGAATGTGAATGTGGATTTTACGATGGAAAACAAAGGATTATTCACAAATAGTAAGTACTTTAATTATAAGAAATAATATTTCTTTATTATTATTATTAAAAAGTTAATGGTGTTCTACTTTTTTATTATAAATAAAGACAATATACATTTATTAATTATAAGGGTTTGAATGTGGTCAATTTCATGAACAACAATAAAAAATATAGGTAAGTACTAAAAGTCAACACAACAAAATGTTTTTCAATGTTTAAAATGTTTCGGTTTTGGCCCAAGGGGTGTCTACAGGACTAAATGCAGCTATTATGTACGAAACTTTTTTATTAAAAAGAGGACAAAGGTATCCATAAGTGTGATGTCTTCAAGATGATACAAATGGCAAATTGCTAGAAGAGGGGAAAAGTTTTCTTTTATAAATGGGATAGATATATTACTGGTTGTTAGAGGTGTATTTAGGCAGGTTTTATTTAACTTTATCAAATACCTAAGTGTCTTCTGAATATCAAGAAAGCGATGAGGTAATAACTGAGAATGTGGTACCTGCGAAAGAAATGAGAAACAAGAATCACCCTCCGTAAACCAGCTGAGTTTTTGTATCCCAAGAAACTAAATTAATACCAGTTGGCTAAAAGTAACATTAATAACTTCAGTAGAACCCTAAAATACTGTCACTAAGAAAGGTATTTAATAGAACTAACAGGTACTTAAGGATCTTAAGATGTCATAAAAGTTACTAAAGATCGGCTATTTTCAGTATTACATTCCTTGTTCTACTAGATTACGTGGGATACGGTTATTGTTTAAGGCTTGTTTGTTACTATTCTAAAAAGTAAAATGCTGTTCCAGATTTACCTCAAAACAGCTCCCTGTATATCCTTTTTATGCTTTTGTCACAATATGTAGACCATTTTCAAAATTTTGATGTGTATAATTTTTTTTTCAGCATTTATTTCTTTTCTAAGTTGGAAATTTTAACAAAAACCTAGTTAAATTTAATAAATGTAGGATATGCAAGAAGAATAATTAGTTATGGCCTAAAAATTATTGTATACATATTTATTTATTAGACCCTTAAGTAATGAGTCGTTATAGGGATTCGTTAGTTATGGAAATACATAAAATATTTAATGGACCATTAACTAAAGGCTTCTTAATGTCCCATTAAAAAAACAGTTGAATAAATATTGTGGAGATCTGCCATCTTTTAAAAATTATAATCGAAGTTTTTTTTAATAATATACATTAATATTTATACATATACGCATTTTTATACAATATTTTATATATTTTGGATTTATTATCAAGGTAGGTAGCATAGATAAAATAATATGCATATTATTATATCTATGGTAGGTAGGTAACAAAGTTGATTATGTAGCAAGCGTTATAAAAAAATGTATCCTAATTTTGAGAACTAAATCCATTGATTTTTTAAAGCAAATTATTGTTACCCTTATGTTTTATGCAACTGGATTATTTTAACAAAAAATGTAATAAACATTTTTAAAGTCTACCGTCTAGATACGTACCGTGGGCAGAATAATATTCCTATTTCCAAATTCACTCTGCCGTAAACGCACCAGATTTGGAGGTTAACTTATGACCAATGATATATATCTATATAGATTACTCATTTATATGTAAATCGGGCATCGAGACAGAATAAAATAAAGACGATCTAAACAATATTTTGCGATATGACAGATGGACGCACTTCGAGTGACGGAAAAGTGTAATGAAAATGGCGATTTGAGTGATATTTTGATATATTTGAAGTCAATAATTTTATATATGAAGACTGACAGAATGAAAATGATTTTATATAATTTAAATGAAGCTATTTAGCAAAAATTACATTTATTTTCACCAAAACTAACTAGACAAGACGCGGGTTTCACTGGGGGAAGTTTGCTCTATATCTATGCCGCGTTTGAATATCTACATCGGATGCATTTTTTACATCTCGAGCGTTTGTTTATCCACATTGGACACATCTATCTTACTACATTTACGTATACTGAATCACGTGATCAAATATTTACAACATCTCAGATGCATCCGATGTGGATATTCAAACGTGGTACTAATACACGCAATATTTTCTCTCAATTTTGAGTACTCAGTTATAAATTGTAAATATATTGTCAGAGGCAGAGTATTGCATTAAAGCACTCATGAGTAATTCACAATGAATAGCTTCGCAAAATACTCATAATAAGTATCTGAGTATGAATACTCAATCATATGAATAATACTTAAAACAAATAAGTGCTTTTGCAAATTTTAGAGAGTACTTTGAGTACTTAAGTACAATTTTGAGTATACTTGTACTGTCCAGCTGTGTATAGTGTTTTCTTGTCATTAAAATTTTTGCAGATTTAAATGTACATTTTATAGTTATAATTAACCCGGTCATTTACCATTGGGCTAATAGAAGCACACCAAATGGCTACTTCAAAAAAATGGGACACCTCTCGGCGATGTTAATAATCTACAGGACTTTCATGATCTGAGAAGATGGATGTCTGTAGTCTGCAGACACCCCTCAGCGTCAACCAGCAGGTTTTTGGCGGGTTGATAACCTGCAGGACTTTTATGAGCTATGAAGATGCAGCTGTCTCTAGAAATCTCTCAGAGGCAGGTTTTATATACCCCTGAAGGATGCACAATCGGCCTAAGTGCTGCAGAAGTATCCACCTTCCCCACCTTACAGATACAGATAGTTTATATTGGTAATTGTTGCTATGAAATTAGAATGTCCATTTTAACAAAAAAATATCATGTGGTCCTATTTATAAGATGGCAGCAATTTATAAAATTAATTTTATTTAGTAATCAAGAAAACTTTGTTCTGTATAATTAATAATAAATTTTTATTATATTAATTAGTGGTTGTTTTTATTTTATATTGCTCAGATATTCACAATAGGTCTTAGTTTATGATTTTATGTGTTTTCTGTAGGCTTTGTTACTGTTTCCCTGTTATAAAATTGTTTAAATTTCTTAATATTTATTTGACAATGTGGATAATCAATATTACAATACGAAAAAAATTTGTGTTTAAAACACCTTACATAATATCGTGTCTTGAAGTAAAATAGGTCATTCTTGTTTCTGTTTTTAAATATTCAAATGCTGAAATTTTATTTTAAAACCTGTTTGGGCCAGAGTGATTTTATTCAGTGAACACTTGAAAAGGCGCTTTTCGTAGTCTAAAGGTATTTTTTAGCGAGTGTATGGTTTAAAATATTTTCGACTGTTTTAAACCGTTTAAATTTTAGTGATGCAACTATGACGTCGCGTACGAAATATTTTAAACCAAAGCTAGAATTTTTGAACCAGTCGGAGGCATATGGTTCAATAACGGTTGACACATAAGAGATTCTGATTGTGGCTGTTGTATGTTGTTTTGCTCTGTTCCATCTTTGAACATTTTGATATATTTGACGTTTTGTTGATTTGTATTGATTTTTGATAACTTCATACATATATTATGTGATTCATATTCATACATTAATTGGTTATAATGTTTTAATACAAATATTAATATTTATGGTCATCATAAACAGTTGGACAATGTGATCTACCTATGGGTTACTCTTGATTATGAAACAATAATTCAATTAAAGTAAGATTAAAGGATTACTTATCAATTGTACGTTTTTTACAAAAATAACTACGTAGTTTGCTTCAGATTCTGAATTTGCCAGCAAATATTTAAAAGCAATTAAACGTTCTTTGGCAGTTGATGAACGTTGGAAAAGCCCAACAAATCTACAGTAAATAATCGTTAGACAATCGCGTATCTGTGGAACTACGGAATAAATATGATAGCATCTGTTTATTGACAAGAAAAATACCAAAAATAAAATAATAACGTTTCAGATTCCAATGTACCTATTAAAAACACTTCAATTTTTACTTAAAATCGCTATCAAACACTTATCTTCCTTCATCTGATTTAACAATCATTAAAAAAAAATACGATCAAAAAAATGTTGTCATATGACAGCAGATTATATTTTTAAAACACCCTATTTTTGCCATCTATTAATTCATGACGTCACTTTAAATATGGTTTAAAAAATATTTTAAACCAATGTGGTGGCTAAAAAACAACTCTATTTAAATATGTGTAAGCAATCTTTATAGCGATATATATCATTGTCATATCGCGAAAAACGCACCGCGTTGTCAGATTTACGACGAGGATCGGAATGCATTTTTAGTGGATTATTAGTGATAATGAGTCTATAAATATTTAACGATCGTTCTTGCAACCGGCTGTTACCATTTTATTGTAGCCATTATATTAATGATCTATTAAATTACTACTAACATTACGAAAAAGTAAAATGATTCAAAAATAAAATGTGACTGATTCCTTCTAGAAAACAACTATTCCTTTGACCAATACCGCAATAGGCATTAAATTAAATCCAAAGAAAAGGAGCGCGGATAGAAAATTATTTTCAATACTTCTAGCTTTGATTTTGCTTACTAAGAATTCATCCTTGAACCAGTTTCGTCCTTATTACGATTCGTCAGCAAAAATAGACATTCACTCGCATTAAGTGAGACCAGTCCAAGAATGGCCTTTTCATTAGTAAGCACAATCATAATATTGGAAATAAGTTTCGCTCTACTATTTTTCTTTGGATTAACGCAATGCCTGTTGCCGTAGTAGCCAAAGTAGTAATTGGTTTGAAAATGGTCGCTCGTATTATTTTGTCACATGACTTTGGGATTTTCTTGTTTTTCTTTATTTTACTAAAATAAAAACTAATTTAAATAATAGATATTTACAGTTTATAGATCATTTTTGTAAAAAAAATTTGTGACCATATAAAACAGTCACAGTATAGTAGGAGTACATTATAAATATTAATATAATTCAAAATTTAACAATTTAAAGAAAACATTGCATTATAAAAATAAAAAGAACTGGGCATAGCTTTCATATCAAAACATTTAAATAAAACGTCTTACCTTTTTCATAACATTCATAAAATTCGAGGGAAACATCTTGGTGGATTGTCTAGTTCTTTCTTAATAAAATTATAAGCTCTGCTGCAGTTTTTACATGTCGATATTTTTTTCGTAGATACTCCATTATATATCTGAAAAGCAAATAAGAATTTTAATTAACACCCTTATATGTATGTTAAAAAGATAATCCATCATTGTTGTACAATGTTTGCACAAATACAAAATTTCAAAATGGGTTTGAATACCAATCATTTTAGTTAATGTTAATAATTACAATTTAGTTCTCATTAATATGTTTAATTGCATGCTTGCCAACTATTAATTTAGTTATTTAATGACTACTACATTACAAGTGTTTAGGTTTATATAAAAATATTACATAATGTGTATAGTGGCGGAATATTTATGTTCACCCGCCATAATTTTAATTATATAATTTGTATATTAGGTGGAGGATATACTCTTTTTGTATGGTTAAAACAGAAACTCATTATTCAGCAAGCTTTCTTTGTATGTTGATAACTTTTTTAAATTTACCAATAATATTTTCAATATATTTACAAACCAGAAAGTCATTTTTTATTTCACTAAAAGTAAACTGATAATTTTTAAATTTAATTATTCATTTTATTTTCACTATTTTCGTTTTATTTTATTCGAACAAGAAAATATTACAACGAAAAAAAATTATGTAAACAATGTTACCTAAAAAGTAGGTAATTTTAAAATCGATAAATATATCATCAATACACGTCACTTTTTAAATAATTTGTCGTTGAAGCACTGACATTTATTATTCTTGAACAAATACTCATAACATTGTAATTATTTTGTAACGTACCAGTAACTGTTGAATGTTAAAATATTACTATAGTTAAAAAAAGATTAGTTGCGTTCGTTTTTGAAACTGAATTATCTAGAATTGAATTATGAACTGTTAAAATCAAATAAGAATGTAATTTTCACAACTACTTTGTCAAAAAACAATTTTTTTTCTACGACTTTTTACGAAAAGATATCTTTTGGATATGACACTTCTAGTGAAAACTTGAATTCCATCACCAGTGAAAAACAATCCGTTAACTTTCGTTACTCTAGTTACAGGATTCTCATTTAGTGTTAATTACAGATTTTATCTGTATTAAGAAATCTATTAATGTAACGATTGTTATTTTTTTATAAATATTTTATTTATTTAAAAACAGTTTATTTATAATTTATTTAACTACGTACTAATTAATTAATTAATTTTATATTCAAGCACTGTGACAATCTGCCGTCACAAGAGCTCACTGTCTGTGGAAGACTCTATAAAATGCTCTGGTTGAAAATAAAGTTAAAATACTGGGTACAAATGAACAATTTATTAAATATCAATGTCAATAATCCATTTTTTTCTGACAAGTTGTCAAAATCCAACTAAACTCATAAAAACAATACAGGGTATAGACAAAAATACTTAACATGATAAATAAAATAAATAATTAAATCAATATCCTCCCCTCTCAAAATGAAGCTTGCTTTAAGTGGTTTTATTTTCATTGAAATGGAGGTCACACAACTTTAAAATATGTCGTCTAAAGATACCATGAATTGTTCTGATGTCAGCAACACGAATTCGTCCATCCTTACTTGGATATACAGCTGTCACTCTACTTTTTGGCCAGTCATTCCTTGGATGATGGTCATCAACAATGATGACGATATCACCGATCTTAACAGTTTTTTGTTCGTCGTTTCATTGGAATCTAATGTCCAAAACTTGTTACTTAAATTTTGGACACTGTTTTTTCAAATGGTCAGCGCTAATGGGCAGACTTTCGAGGACATTAACTTCTGATGAGTTACAATAAGGCCCCAGCAAAAAATGAATAGGCGTAAGTGCTTCTTCGTATTGTGCATCTAACGAAATTTCGATCAAAGGCCTAGAGTTGACGATGTTTTCTACTTCAAGAAAAAACGTATGAAAAACTTCGTCGAATGAAACTTTTTTTTTAAAACAATTTTCAGAGCTCTTTTGATGGTTTGTACGTTCCTATACAGCGCTCATATGACTGGCGGTAGCTGGATTAAAATGCCACTTGGTGTTTTTTATGGAAAGGCTTTCGATAATTTTTTTACTGATTAAACTCCTTGAAAGCTATCTGAAGTTCTTTATCCGCAACTTTAAAATTTGTTCCATTATCGCTAAATATTTTAGCAGGGTATCCTATTCTAGCTGACATCCGTTGTATTGCCATTATAGCACCCGTAGACAAACAAGTAAATAATAAACCGTATATTTTCTCTCTGCGTTTACCAACTAAATTTTTTAATTTGGAAATACAAAATTTTGTCTCACTTCGTTTTTAACTGTTGCAACTCGATGATTAAATTTTTCATGATAAAATAATACCAATAATTCAGTTAATTTGTGATTGTATGATAGGATTATGGGGTTTTTTAAAATCAGAAAAGTCGCTGTCAATTCTACTTCTTACTCTAAGAATTCTGGAATCATCCAAAAAAGGTAATAATTTAAGATTAAGATTAAATACTTCTTCAGAAAATTCTAAAAACTGTATTTTTTACACCATTCTTCTTCGGTCGTAATTAACTCTTTAACAGTAAGTGTTTATCTGGGATAGGTATTTTATAACGACAGTAATTAAAAAATCTGCTAACCTACGCCGTGGTTCAAATTAGTTTAATCAAAGAAGACAATCTTTGGCAATCAGGAAATGGTGTAATTGTTCTAAGTACATTAATTACCTCTTTCTTAAACATTACATCAATATGATCCCTGCTAATATCTTCTGGCCACAGCGAAGAAGATTGATAAAGAAAATCGGGACCTCTTAACCACGTTGAGTCACTATTTTTTAAGTTCCCATCTCTGGTGGCATGATCAGCGGAATTTAACTTGGTCGGTACCCATCTCTAATTCGACTTATCTAAAGTTATAAATATTTTTTAAACTCTATTTCCTACATATTGTTTTAGTCTTAGGTTATCTGAAGCTATCCAATATAAAAGAATTTGAGAAACAGTCCAGTAAACTGAAATATGTACCTATATTTCCAAGAAGTTCTTTTTCTGTTTTGCAAGTTTACTAGGCAGTAGTGCACTTTCTAATTCCAGACGAGGAACCTTTATCTCTTTTAAGGTGCACACTTTACATATTTATAAGATACAAACGAAACTTCAATGCCATTCGTACTTTCTACTCGTAAATAAATGACAGCTGCTTATGCATGTCTACTCGCATCTGAAAAGAAATGTAACTGGATACTTATAGCATAGGGAATATTTAAAGAGTAGCACCCAGGTATTTTAATTTCAATAATTTTCTTAAGTTCATTTATCCAGTTTTCCCATTTTTTTAACGAACTTTGAAATATTTCCTCATCCCATTCGGTGTTTTCTCACCAAATATCTTTTATAACAATATTATTTAAAAAACCTAATGGATCAAAAACACCCATTACCATTTTGAGTATTTCTCGTTTTGTTGGAATCTTTTCAAAATTTAAAAAGTTTATCTGACGGGTTTTTAAATTTTAATTTAAAAATAAAATGATCTTTTTCTGGATCTAACTGGACTCTCAGAACTCTTTTAATGGGTAAAGTAGAATCTGAATGAAATTTCTGCTTAAGTTCGGCAGGTAAATCGGCAAGTGCTTTTTTAGAGTTAAACAACCAGTTGAAAATATGGAAACACCCTTGGGCGTGGACGTGAATACCTAACATCATAAATTATTTGTGTTGCTTTGGTTTCCGAAAACATATATTGAAAACTCCCATGTCTCATCTACAGACATTTCAAGAAATTTTTTACATTTTTCCAAATTGTTTCTTATTATTGCAGCATGATCAATTCTCATTATACTGTTTCCGGGTTACCAAAAGAGTTTCTGATTTTATCTGTGATTGCGAATTGGGTTTAAAGTTTAAAAGACATAAGTTATTTGCTTTTCCCATTTTTTTTAACCAAAATTTATTAAATTTTCATTTTTTATTTTACAGCATGCAGTGTCCAATCACGTCTAAGACTAATTGTTAAATTACTAACGAATTTATCTAATAGAAATTGATTTTTATAAAATCACTACTGTCTAGATGTTTATTAATTACAAACTAAATTAGCATATTTTACGATACTCTCAGGTTTTTAATCTTTAACAGGAGGTAATTTTTTTTATTTATTCAATCATTGATTTAATAATATATTGTGGACGTCCATAATTATTCTCTAAGATTTCTATAATATCGGATACAGTTAAATATGATGTGAGCAACATTTTGACTGATTCCCTTGTCTCACCTTTGAGGCATTGTCTAAGCCTGACTAGATTTTCGCTGTCAGAATATTTTCAAATTCTAGTTGTTTCATTAAATTCAGTGATAAATAATAACCAGTCAGTTGGGTTACCAAAAAAGTTAGGCAATGATTTATCCATAACTTGTCTTCGTATTAAATATTCTCCTGCAGCCATAGAATCGCATGGAGTAAATTCATGAGACTTACCAGAAGTGTTTTGCTTTTCGGCGTTACCACTACCTTGAGGAAGCTCCCCTATTTCACCACCGACATTCATCCTGATCTCTCTCTCCTCCGCAACAACATCAAGGGGTCACTTTAAAATTATTATTATTATTATTATTATATAGGATAACTTCCGCTTCGTCATCAGATTTCTCAAAGTCCTCATCTAAAGTTAAATTATTTAGAGCTAATTCAACTCCTTTCCTATTTCGGCCTGTTTCTTTTCTAATTCTAATTTTTTTCTTTCTGCCTCTATCTGCAATATACATTTTACATTAATGCTTCTAGACTTTCGACTGGATTTCTTAGATCTTGCTGAGATTCTATATATGAAGTTATAATCGCTGTCCTGATTGGATATCTTGTTGATTTTCAGAATTGTTGTTTCGTTATCTGCCAATTGTCGTCAAATTAGCACTATTTAAATTTTTAATTTATTTAACACATTTGCGTATACTAATTTATATCAGATTTACTTTTTCGATGTTCTCACTGCTATGAGTCGATTTCGACTGACTGTCCGTAACTACAAAGGCAAATTTATATAATT